CCCCCAAAACCCCAAAACCCCAAAACCCCAATAATCATTATTTTTATTGATGGAAAATACACATACGTAAGTTAATTACCTTAATGACTAGATTTGAGGCGATCCAGTTGGAATTCTCTCAGCCAGAGATTGCAGTGGTATCTTTGAATAGACCAAAGAAGCACAATGCTATGAATTGGGCCATGTTTGAAGAACTCACCACTGTTTTCGATCACATTAACTCTCTTAGAGACGTCAGAGTGGTAATTCTCAAAGGAAATGGCAAATCTTTTACTTCAGGGCTTGACATTATGGACGCGAATGAGAAAATCTTTGGAAAGGTGGATGAGCATAGTGAAGATGTTGGCAGAAAAGCTATCCTCTATCATAAAATTCTCAAGATTTTGCAAGACTCTATGACCTCACCTGAGAAATGCAGAATGCCAGTCATAGCAGCCATCCATGGATATTGTGTAGGAGGAGGTCTTGACTTGTCCTCAGCTTGAGATATCAGGCTTGCTTCAAAGTGAGCTAAATTCACAATCAAAGAAGTTGATATTGGACTTGCAGCCGATATAGGCTCTCTTCAAAGATTTCCAAAAGTTGTTGGAAATGATGCTTGGTGCAGAGAATTGGCTTATACTTCCAGAATTTTTGGAGCAGAAGAAGCACTAGAAAATGGCCTAATTAGTCATTATTATGAAGACAAGGAAATATTGTTTGATGAAGCTCTAAGATTAGCTAAGTTAATAGCATCCAAAAGTCCTGTAGCTTTGGTTGGATACAAAGAAGGCCTAAATTTTTCAAGAGATCACACTATTGAGGATGGCTTAAAACATGTTAGAACTGTAAACACTGCTCTTCTTCAAAGTGAGGACAACATGATAGCTGCTATGGCATTGTTGAGCAAAGAAGTACCAAAATTCTCTAAACTTTAATGGAAAATATTCAAAGGATACAATAGATATCTCTTCAATCTAATGCTTTGAAAAAGGGGTTTTGGGGTTTTGGGGTTTTGGGGTTTTGGGG